TGACTCTTGATCTCAGCTCAGGTCTTGACCTCAGAGTCATGAGTCAAGCCCTCTGTTGGGCTCCACACTGGGCATGGAGCCTACTTAAAAAAAAAAAAGTGAAATAGAATAGGAAATATCAGAGTCCTTGCACACAGTGAAAGGAGTATTGTTAATGAAGCATTTGCTTCTGTTTCATGCATCTGTATGTGCTATAATGAAATATCAGGAAAATGGAAATCATGGTCAGTGTGTTTTTTAATGGAGGGAATTTAACTGGAAACTGCTTACACAAATAATGAGAAGCCAACGGAGGAAGATGAGACAACCCAGAGATCAGCAATGGCAGAAACCACTAATCCCTTTTGACTGGAGGGACAAAGGGAGGTGACAGTGTTGCTGGGTCCCAGAGCTGGGGTCATCCAGCAGAAGCTGAAATCAAAGGAGGACCTTTTTGGAAGACCCAGCCACTGTCAAAGATGCACTCAAGGCAGAGAAAGACGGAGGGAATTGTCCTCACTTTCCCATTCCCCTCACCCTCCAGTCTTAGAGCTGCATGTGAGTGGCACCAGGCCAGAAGTCGGTTAACATAACCTGGGAGCCTTGGAAATACAGCCTCTTGGGATCAGCATCCTTGAAACGCGGCAGAGGAAGAGAAGAGCAAGGGATGGATTTGAGAGCAGAGAGTTCCAGGGCTGGCACAGCTGTGAAGTAAAATGTATTTCTGATTGAAGGTCAGATTCCAAAAGGTTTAAAAGTCATTGCTTTAGAGGACAAAGCTCTTCTCCGTGTTGTTCTCTCTACATACAGGAAGAATAAAATCACACTTTTGACCATTAGAGGATGCCACATTTTGCCCTTTTGTATGTGTTTGAAAAGACAGTTTGAATTAAAGAAGTTGGATTGGGAGACTAACCCACTTCTCTCCTTAGTGTTGGAGTAGTCATACCAAGATCTCTTAGTAGTAAAGGTAAAACTGGCAGATGTAGATGAAATTTAGGTTAGGAAAAGCAGAGCAGGAACGAAGTACGCAAGCTGCAAATGTGTGAGCAAAGAAACGAAATGTTTTTCTCTGATGGTGTGGAAGGAAAATTATAGCAGTTAAAAATTGGTATGCTGGTATCAAATCACCCCTGTCAGCAGGTATTTGTGAGATGGATCTCTAAAACTGCCCAGATCCACAAGGAATAGCAATCATGATTTGGCAACACCACCTTATTCCCACTCTGATGATTATTCACTTCTTTCCTTTCCAAAGCTTTGACCTTGAATTATTTGGGATTTCTGATTTCAAGAAATAGCTCCCAAGCCTCCCTCGTTAAGTCAAGCCTAGTGCTTGACTCCTTGTGTTTAAAAACATGCAGTGCTGCTCTCCCCTCCAGCCTTCGGAGATGCCAAAAGGAAAGAAGGCAAAGGGGAAGGAAGCAGCGTGGGCTCCTGCTGTCTTGAAGAAGCAAGAGGCCAAGAAGGTGGTCAATCCTCTGTTGGAGAAAAGGCCCAAGAATTTTGGCATCAGACAGGAACAGGAGATCCAGCCCAAAAGGGACCTTCCACGCTTTGTCGAATCGTTACATCTGGCTGCAGTGGTACAGGGCTATTCTCTATAAATGTCTAAGAGTGCCTCCTCTGATTAACCAGTTCACCCAGACCTTGGACCACCAAACAGCTACTCAACTGCTTATGCTCGCCCACAGATAGAGACCAGAGACAAAGTAAGAGAGGAAGCAGAGATTGTTGGCCCAGGCTGAGAAGAAAGCTGCTGGCAAAGCAGATATCCCCACCAAGAGGCCGCCTGTCCTTCAAGTGGTGGTTAATATGTCACCACCTTGGTGGAAAACAAGAAGCCTCAGACGGTAGTGATTGCACATGATGCAGATCCCATTGAGCTGGTTGTCTTCTTGCCCGCTCTGTGTTGTAAGATGGGGGCTCCCTACTGCATTATCAAGGGAAGGCCAGGTTGGGACGTCTGGTCCACAGGAAGACCTGCACTTCTGTGGCCTTCACACAGGTTCACTTGGAAGACAAAGGAGTTCTGGCTAAGCTGGTAGAAGCTATCAGGACCAATTACAAAGAAAGATATGATGAGATCCGCCATCACTGAGGAGGCAAGATCCTGGGTCCTAAGTTGGTGGCTCGCATCGCAACGCTGGAAAAGGCAAAACGGCTAAAGAACTGGCCACCAAACTGGGCTAAGTGTACACTGTTGAATTTTCTGTACATAAAAGTGATAAAAAGTTCTCTTCCACAAAAAATAAAAAAATAAAATAAAAACATGGACTGTCTACTTTTGGACTTCTCCATCTACACCAGTCATGCAGGAGCAACACTCTTCAATCTGTTTCTTTCCTGTCTAGTCTCCTTCAGTTATTTTAAAATATGGTTTGGGGAATATTGTTTTAAATTCAACTGTATCATTAAGAGTTCTTTTTAAAGGCAATGAGTATTTGTTGAATGAATGAATGGTTGTATGGGTGGATGGATGGATGGATGGATGGATGAGCGAGCCTCAGTTCTAAGATTCTGCCAGGCTCATGGGGCCTCCTCAAGCCAATTTCCTGGTTCTGACTTGACTTGAAATTTAAAGACCACCAGAACACCACTGTGCTGCCATCTAGCGGTAGAATAACCTACGTGTGAGAAAGGTACTTGCCAAAAAACAAGTTTGTATGCAAAATGAAAGTGAATGTCACAGTTCTCTTTCTGGTTCCAGCAGCTTATGGCTCCTCATTTGGCTATCTTTGGTAATAATAGCACTTCACCTTGATGCTTAACACATGTACAAAGAACACTCGCAGGATTATATAAATCGATGTCACCCACTCAGGTACCATATGGTACCATAGGTCCTTCTTAGTACAATAAATGCCGAAGGTCTCTGTGTTTTGACACAGTCAGTAGGCTTGTGATTTTTAAAAATGTGATAACCAGCTGTTTTTAGGAGAAAGTATAATAATCATTTTATTGCTTCCATACTTCAGTTTTAATTTGATGACTCTTTTAAAAAAACATACTTTTTGGCGTCTTCTTCCTGCCTTGTCTTCGGCGTTTTTGCTTTCAGAGCCGCTGATAGCAAGTCTTCGGGAAATGCCAAAATTGGGCATCCTGCCCCCAACCTCAAAGCCATGGCTGTTATGCCAGATGGCCAGTTCAAAGATCTCAGCCTATCTGACTACAAAGGAAAATACATTGTGTTCTTCTTTTACCCTCTTGACTTCACCTTTGTGTGCCCCACGGAGATCATTGCTTTCAGTGACAGGGCAGAAGAATTTAAGAAACTCAACTGTCAAGTGATTGGTGCTTCTGTGGATTCTCATTTCTTTCACCTGGCATGGATCAACACACCCAAGAAACAAGGAAGACTGGGACCCATGAACATTCCCTTGGTATCAGACCCCAAGCGTACCATTGCTCAGGACTATGGAGTCTTAAAGGCTGATGAAGGCATCTCCTTCAGGGGCTTCTTTATCATTGATGATAAAGGTATCCTTAGACAGATCACGGTAAATGACCTTCCTGTAGGCCGCTCTGTGGATGAGACTCTGCGACTGGTTCAGGCCTTCCAGTTTACTGACAAGCATGGGGAAGTGTGCCCAGCTGGCTGGAAGCCTGGCAGTGATACCATCAAGCCTGATGTCCAGAAGAGCAAAGAATATTTCTCTAAGCAGAAGTGAGCGCCGGGTCATTTTAGGGTTGGGCTGCAGTGGGTGGCCATGAAAACAAAATCTCTCTTGTATTATTGTCATGCTTAGAACATAAGACTTTAGACTGTGCAGATGTGGTATGGGGACAGGACAGGCCTTTTCTGCAGGGGTTGGGGAGGCCAGCCTTTCTTCCACTGGAGAGAAGGGCCTGAGCTGTTATGGGGCAGGCCAACTGTTATGTACAGTAGCAGGGCATCATGTTTTGTCTTTTGTTTCTATTAAACTTGAACCGAGAAAAAAAAACAAACAAACATACTTTTTTCCCCTATATATACACTAACATCTTAATTGGAACAAAAACCACATTTATTCCAGAATATAATTATATAAAAATAAAATAAAACGGTTACAAAGTTTAGGAAATCAGGCATATAAAATAAGGTCGCCACACTTGGACATGCTGCAGCCTAGCCAAGCTGACGCATAAAATCAACCATCACATGTGTCTTGGTGTGGGCCTATTTTTATCCACTGTACTGTGCTCTCAATGGACTCTTCTAATCTGTAGACTCATGTGCTTCAGTTCTGAGAAATTTTATCGATTTTTTGTTTTTGAACACCCTCTCCTACATTTTCTTTGTTCTCTATTTCTGGACTCCTATTATTTGGATTTTAGAACTTCTGGCTGGACTGCCAATGTTTCTGTCCACTTTTACCATTTTTCATCTGCCTGTCTTTTACCTTGTTTACTGGAAAATTTCCTTAATTTTTTTCTTTCAACCCTTTTATTGAGTTTTTAGTTTTGCTATCATGTTTTTAGTTTTCAGAGATTTTCTTTTTCTTCGAGAGACCTCTGCACCCTGCTAAAACAGTATCCTGCTCTTATTTCATTGGCGATATCTTTTCTTATCTCAGAATATTAATGGCAGCATTCCTTTTAAAAAGTGTTCTTTTCTCTCGCATGATCTGTTTCCTCCGAGTTGCTTTTTTTTTCCTGCTTATTTCTTTGGTTTCTCTCTTCCATATTGGAGACTTCCCTCGGATGTGTGGTTGTTTTCATTTCCTCAAGAGTAAGGAACTAAAAAGCGGCTTGCTGGCTCTGAGCAGGGAGGGGAAAAGGGAACGCTTCATAGTGGGGTAGTCGGGGACCTCTACAGTCAGTCTCTTTAGTTCTGGTTTATTGGGCTGCTCAAAGTCCTTAAAGAAAACTTTTCTGATCTCCCTTCATACAAACAAGGAGGCCAGCCGCTGATTGGGAGAAGGGGCCAAGGCGTCTCAGGATCTGTTTTCAGTGCTATATGCTCCGCTTGCAATTATACCTGGTGGCATCTGTGCTCATCCCTCCCAAGAATAAACCCCCATTCTCACAAGGTCTCCCCGATGGCCCAGCTACGGAGTCAGAGGAGACCTGGGGTCCAGTTACTTAATAGACTCTCAACCAGCTGTCCTATTTCCAGCTCTTCTCACTCCACTTCCTTACCTCCGCAGGTGCCAGAGGCTGCCCGGCCTGAACCCACCGGAGATCCTACAGTATAAATTAGGACGAATGTCAGCCTTCTGGACTGCTGACACGATTCTATTTTGGGGGGTTTGCTAAGCCATGTATCACCCTACCTGTTTTGTAGCTTCAAACTCTTGCTTCTATCATCTCCTCTCTCTTTTCTATCCATCCTGGTGAGGCTCTGCCTTTATGACAATCCCTTTGCTCTTGTTTTAGTAGGGTTGTGAGGAGGAGCAAAAGCAGATGGCTGCCTATAACTACTATCTTTACCAGGAAGGCCTTCAGTGGGATCTTTAAAAATAACTTCTGTCGATGAAGCTTCTACTCATTTAAAAATTCTTTAAATGTTTTTAAAGTAAGGAAGTTTTTTTTTTGTAGTCAAACATAATTAACTTTGTGTATATGATTTCTTCCCTTGTTCCCAAACTTAAGAACTCTTAGTCCTCTGTTAAGATTCGGTAAATATTTACTTGGGTCTGTCCGAAGTAAAACTGTCAAGTAGCCATGGGGTTTTTTTGGCACCAGCTTCCAAGCTTCTGTTGGTGATTTTGTCCCTCCCTCCTTCTGGAGTGTTCCCAGTGCCTCTGAGAATCCCTGTGATGCCCTCTGTTCACTAACATTCTCAGTCAAGACCCTTTCCTTCCTTCTATGATGGCTCCCTATGCTTCAGGCTTTGGCAGTCCCTTCCACCACATCAAAACGTACCTGTCCAAAGGGTCTTACTTCATTATATTCTGCTCTTTCTTAGCTAACTAAAGGTAGCAAGAACTGTTCCAGAGGAACTTTACATTCATTATTGATTTAATACTTATGACAACCTATTGTGATGATATTATTAGTCCCATTTCATAGATGAATACAATGAGGCTTAGAGAAGTTAAGCCTCTCTTATCCAGGATCACTAGGCTGGTAAGTCAAGGAGGGTCTACAGCACACAATGGCTTTTAACCACTGCATACATTTTCCCTATTTACTGTGCTAACTCACACAATAAGACATTTAACAAATTTTAATGGCTATTTTTTAAGGCCCTACTTTAACCTAAATAGTGAGTCTAATGATGAACATTTCAATACAGCAAAAGTTTTAGGCAGCAGGACCTTTATTGCCATTTAGGGTTACCTTTCTCCTCCCATCCACCCCCACAGAATGCAGCGTCGATTTGGCATTTTTAACACTGCAGCTAAAGATTATAAAAATAAAGCCATCTATGACCATGAAAAGCTCTGTGGGAGCTATGTTATAAACTATAGCACTCAGCCGAGAAAGACTAGCTTTTAAGCAGTGTATTTAGATCTGTTGGCGTGTTATTAGACACATACTTGAGCCCATTCTCCTCTTCACCTCTGTGTTTTCAATTCAAAGGATTTTTATTCTTCATGGAAACAAATGATATCAAAATCACAAGGCATCTTCTCTGATTATTTCCATCTAAGGTTATATAAACACACAGTATTTATGATTTCATACACATTTTTTATCCTTACTGGGCTACGTTGGTTTCCAGGAATGAATAGTAGAGTGTTCTAGATCTTTTCCAGGGATTCAGTATTACCCCCTCCTGTAACCCAGAATGCTCAGCTCCTCCACCTCGGACACCAAGTTGATCAGATCCTCCAGTGTCACACACAAATACACACATTAAAGGACTATGGTGTGCATTGTATGTGACGTCAGAATAATAAGACAATGACTCTCTCTTCAAAAAGCTCGTGGTCTAGAAAAGAGAGACATATAATATGCAATAAAAATGTACGAAAAATTTTTATTTTTTTTTTTCAAGTAGGCTCCACGCCCCACATGGGGCTTGAACTCACAACCCTGAGATCAAGAGTCGCATGCTCCCCTCACTGAGCCAGCCAGATGCCCCAAGAAAAATATATTTTAAAAATCCATTCCTGAATTTTCCTTTTTTATACTTCCAGACATAGAATGGAAGTTTTGGACTCTTTGCTTCCTTGCCACCCCCTCCATCAAAAACAAAACAAAACAAAACAAAACGAAAAAACTCCGAATCTTCTCATACCCAATCTTCTCTTCTCAGTAAATGGCATTCAGGCAGTTTTTCAGGCCAAAAACTTCAATTACTCTTAATGTCCCATGTCTACCCCCTTCTCACTGCCCCATATCCAACCTATCAGTAGGTCCTGCCAGTTCTCCGCAATGCACCGAGCAGCTGACTGGTCCCCTTTCTATGGCTGTCACACTGATTTATTTTTAAAGATTTTATTTACTTATTTTAGAGGGGGACAGGGGTGGAGGGAGAGGGAGAGGGAGAGAGAATTCCAGGCCAGTCCCCGCTGAGCAGAAGCCCAATGCGGGGCTCAATCTCAGGAACTGTGAGATCATGACCTGAGCCGAAATTACCAGTCTGACACTTAACTGACTGAGCCACCCAGGGTCCCCTGTCACACTGATTGAAGCACCTTCATTTCTCTCTTGGACTGCTACAGATACTTCCCAAATGGACTCTGTTTTCCTTTCTTCCATTTTTGCTCCGTGACAATCTATTCACACAGCAGACAGGAACTCCTTTAAAAGTGCACATTAGCTTCTGTTTCCACTCTAAGGGAGTAACTGGGTCTGGATTTACCTTCTCCCATAATAAGAAAACTGGACAAAAATGTCTTTAATACCTGCTTTCAGACATTAGACAACTGGCAGCACAGGCCTGTGGCCTCTGGGAGAAAGGAAACAATCAGGTGAACCCTGAGGTTGTCCCAGGTCACCTGAGGCAGTTTCCAGGCTTGGTGCACACAGCAGGAATCCAGACATAGCCCAGGAGTCTTAGTGAATTGAACAGACAGGGAGGACAAAGCAGCTAGAATTCGTGCAGCACCATTTTTAAAAAAGGCTTTACTTTTCACTTCAAATTACTTTGGCTACTGTGTCGCAAATCAACTGACTGTGTCAGTGTGGGGCTATTTCTTAGTTTTCAGTTTTGGTTCCCTTTATCTATTTATTGATCATTACATCATTACCACAGCGTTGGAATTAGTACAGCTTTAAACAGCCCTGTGATGAGGCTTCCAGCTTTCTTCTTTTTCGAGATTGTTAGTGTAGGTATTTTATATTTCCAGAAAATTTTTTGGAATCGGCTTGGCAATTTCTAGAAAAAAAGCCCATTAGGATTTTTACTGGAATTGTGTTGAATTCAAAGATCACTTTTGGAAGACTATTAACCTAATTATATGTATTTTCTAATCCATGATCATGATATAACCTTCCACTTATTTAGATTTTCTTTTTTTTTAAGATTTTATTTATTTATTTGACAGAGAGTGCAAGCACATGCAGGGGAGTGGCAGGCAGAGGGAGAAGCAGACTCCCCACTGAGCAAGGAGCCCCACACGGGGCTTGATCTCAGGACCCTGGGATCAGGACCTGAGAAGAAGGCAGACGCTTAACCGACTGAGCCACCCAGGCGCCCCTAGATTTTCTTTAATATCTCTTATCACTGTTTGTATTTATCACTGTAGAAGTCTTACACAATTTTTGTAAATTTAATCTTAAGTAGTTCATTTTTCATGCTATTGTAAATGGTATTTTAAAATTTCATTTACTAATTATTTGTTGGTAAATAGAAATATGATTGATTTTTGTATATTAAACTTATATTCTATGACCTTGTTAAATTCACATATTAAACCTTCTAGTTCTTTGAACATTCATTTTGATGTTTCTGTATAAACCATCATATCATTTGTAAATTAACACAGTTTTACTTCCTCCTTTCTAGTCTTTAATTCCATTGTGGCCAGGAAACATACTCTGTAAAATTTCAATGTTTTTGACATTTCATGAGACTTGTTTTATGGCTTAGCATGTGGCCATGTTCAAAAATTTTCCAGATGCACTTTCAAAATGTTTTTCCATTGGGGCGCGTGGGTGGTGCGGTCAGTTAGCCTTCTGACTCTTGGTTTTGGTGCAGGTTGTGATCTCAGGGTCATATGATGAGTCCCACATTGGGCTCCCACATTGGGCTCCCTCATCTGGCTCCATACTCAGCATGGAGTCTGATTAACTTTCTCTCTCCCTCTCTCTCTGCCCCTCCCTGCTGTGCTCTCTCTCTCGCTCACTCGCTCAAATAAATAAATAAATAAATAAATCCTTAAAAATGTTTTCGCATGTCTTCTGGCCTCTATTGTTTTCTTGTAAAATACCATTTCCATGATGAAACACCATCATATATCATTGATCCTCTATACAAAATGTTTTTCTCTTTTGATATCTCTTTTAGTTTTTGTTAGTTGGACTATGATGTACTTAGTTGTGCTTTTCTTGTATTTATTTATTTATCTTGCCTGGAATGTGTTGAGCTTCTTGGGTAAGTAAGTAAGTTATTTCCACAAATTTCTGGAAATTTCAACTATGTTTTCTTTAATTCTTTTTTTGGTCGCATTCTCCTCTTCTCATTCTGAGACTCAGTTTGCACTTGGGTCAGATCACTTAAAATGTACCATTATGAGCGCCTGGGTGGCTCAGCTGGTTAAGCGACTGCCTTCGGCTCAGGTCATGATCCTGGAGTCCCGGGATCGAGTCCCACATCGGGCTCCCTGCTGAGCAGGGAGTCTGCTTCTCCCTCTTCCCTCTTCCCTCTCATGCTCTCTATCTCTCATTCTCTCTCTCTCAAATAAATAAATAAAATCTTTAAAAAAAATTAAAATAAATAAAATGTACCATTATTTGCTTATTATTTGTAATGTTCATTTGTATTGTTCATGATTTGTAATCTTATTTCCCTTCCTTTTCCAGAATGTATAATTTCTAATGATCTTTCTTCAAGTTCACTGATTTTAGTGGTCATGAGAATTGCCTCCCAGGCCACCAGCTACCAGGAGCATAATTGAGTGAGGACCTGAGCTATTATATTTTGAAATATTGTAAAATTCATCCCTGTTTGTGCCTAGGCCACACTTCTCATGGGCTGCTGCTGTATAAACACTAAGGAATCCTCTGATGGCTCACATTGGCTTGAGGACTCCCCACTGGGCTCCCTGAACTTTCCTTAGACTACATGACACCTAAT